AGGGCGACGAGACGTCAGTAATCGCCTAATTCGAATCCCTGCTTCCGTACGTGAAGGTACTGAGGGGTGGATGGTTGGGGTCTGCTGATTGGCACAGAATTTCCTGATTGAGGGACGAAACTAGTTCCAGGATGCAAATTGGACAAGCATCTGGCCGATGAACCTCCAGTTCACGTTTGCAGATCGCGAGGTTTAACATTACTCTTTCCCTCTCTCTACTTTTTTTAGTGAACTTCTCAACCAGGCCTGGATGAAGGATGGGAAGGAGACAAAGGCACCGCACGTGATGCTAGTCTCCAAGAGGTTCAATGAGGTGAGTACACAGAGATCATACCTCCTCATACTTTGCTAGCACTGCTTAGGCCACTCCTGGCTGACTATTAACCTAACTTTAACCCTCTTTATGCTCCGAGATGTGACTTTTACAAGTACGTTAGAGGACACTGGCTGAACTTATCATTTGCGCCAGCCGATAAACGTTGGCACTGCACTGAATGCCTCTGACACGATCGACTCTGCTTGCCCATCATTTCGAACAAGTCCTCGTGTTATGGCAGCTAACGTGCTGGCCTGATTTCGTGACTAATGGAGTTCAATTCAAATATATACATCAAATTTCTGTCCACGCCTATAGACCTTGAATATATACTAATCCATACCGAGAGTATAAATAAATTTCTAAGGAAATTAAAAGGCGGAATACCTATGCAATTTACACAGTCCGAAAAGTACAAGCAACCTAAAGAGAGCACACCTACCACGCCGCGATGGAACAGCTACAGCATGCATCCGCAGGCCGCCTAGTCCGTCGCGAGACACCATGCGTCCTAACGCCTCCCACTGGTCCCTTAACACTTCTGCCCGCCCTAAATTACCACTGATTGGTTGCTTAAACTTGTGTTCACTCAAGCCTCCCTTATTTTTTTCTTTGCCTGATGATGAGCATTGGAAAAATTCGGTCATTAAACTTACTTTCTTGAATGCTAACATGTGGATCATCGCTGAACACAAAAATAACAATAGTAACACCGGATGTACGTTTAAATATCAACTCAAATGTCGACCGCAAAATTTCACGATTTAGGTCATTTACTGTATGTACGGTGGACCGAGTTCCCATCTTCGTATATATGTGAGCCCATTAAATTATATTAACCATTTTTTCTGAATTTAACAGCCCTTCTTTTCCCAAATTTTCCTGATAGGTCAGTAAACTCGTAGTCTCAGAGCTGGTCTCCCGCAAGGGGGTAGCTGAGCGAGCCGCCTGTATTGAGAAGTGGGCAGCTATCGCAGACATCTGTCGCTGCCTCCAAAATTACAACGGTGTCCTGCAAATCTGTGCAGCCCTAGAGAACAGTTCCATCCACCGGTTGAAACAGACCTGGCAATACGTGACGAAGCAAAGCAAGCAGACTGTTGAAAAACTGCTCAACCTTGTGACAACGAACGCTCGCTTCAAAAACATGCGCGAGGCCCTGCACCGGTGAGTCATTTAAACATTGCAGACACTTGCTCTGTGAGGCCATCCATCTCAAGGTTGCCTCATAGAATTCATAAATATCACAGCCAAGATTGCACACCAGCGTGACAACGGTGTCCAATCACGGTTGAGAGGGCATGGTTCGTCGCTCAGACCTACTGCCTGTTCAACCAGCTTAGCCCATGTTCGTAAATAAATTTAGTAAAGTGAAACATGCGTACTACTAAGAAATAAGTAGGTAATTATTCGACGCAAATAAGACTGACTTCACCCATAAGCTGTAGGTTTGAATCCGCTGTTTCAGCTCGCATTGCCTTTGTGGTAACCGATGCGCCAAATGAAGCGTTCGAGTGATAGGGATGCTAATATACTTGGAATATTTCCTCATAATCCTTCCATGCAAGTCAGTTCGTGTTTCTAAATGTAAAACATCTGCAGACGTCTTAAGGTAATCTTAATCGAAGAATCCCCGCTTATGCAGTATGTTGGACTTTGGTTTAACGTGTGCACCAAAATGATCCTTCGCAAAAGGTAACTTTTTATGTTCTGTGTATTGTGGGTTAGGTTCGGTTGGAAGAAAGAGCACTGTGTAAATGCATTTTTAGTTCCAAAATCCAGCAGTTTTAGCCTACCTCAAACTTTTGCATGAAAACAGAAATAATCAAACGGTAGATAATGTTTTTGCCATCCACAAATCATTCAAAATCTGTTAGAATCACTGAAAGACTGCACATTTAGCAATATTCTCCATTTATTTATTGTGATAGTGCCTTCCGAAAACCATAGCTTTTAATTCTGGTCAATTCGAGAGGAGGCATTGAAAAGAAGAACTTTGAGCTTCGAAGCGTCTACAGTTTTCGTTTAACAGTTCATGCAAGGCTGAAGATTTCTGTCGAGAAGTTGAAATGTTTCAAAGCGCGATGCGAAGAAAATTAAAGAGACAGATTTCAACTGAAGGCTTTTCTCGAAGTAGTAAACCCCTAAAAAAATTAAGTGGTCTTCGTTGGTTGATGAGTGCCGTCCCGTTTATAAACCAATTATATATTTCATCCGGGAATCTTTCTGCCTAAAAATACGTGTTAGGGATTCTGCCTAGTTTTAATTGCCATTCTGGAATGCCGCAATTTTGCCTTTTTATTGCTCCCTAGCTTGTTGAGGTCGGAGATCTCATAGTAGTTGACGCGTTACTATTTTCACATGTAATGATATCTAACGAGGGTGGCGCATAGCCAAAGGATGATTAATTTAATGAGGCCACAATCCCGGACAGGTGGCAAAGTGCGCCTGGTGACCGGCAGTGCAGTACTGCAGGCCTGTAAAAACCTCTCGAGAAGGGAGTGATGAAGTAGGCACATTCGCGTTAAAATGGCGTCAAAAACGGAAAAAATTGCATGCACAGGCTGTCAACCAATGAGTCTCGTCCTGTCTTTTGAAGGTGCGACCCTCCGTGCATACCCTATCTCGGTATGTACCTGACTGATCTCTCCTTTATTGAGGAAGGAACGCCAAATGTGACGGAAAATGGTCTGATCAACTTCTGTAAAATGCGAATGGTACGTCTATGTTGTAACACTGCTTCACCCTACTAACATCTCTGCAAGTAGCAGCGAACTGATAGTATTAATTGTGTCTTTCAGCTGGCCCATGTTCTGATGGAGGTTCGCAGGTATCACCAGGCGCCATACGCGATCGAACAGCGTCAGGAGGTGAGCATTTAATCGCGTGTATTTTCCCTTTCAATCCTATAGTGCGATACTTTGCTGCTCGGGAGGTTTTCTCGGCAGTCTGGACAGGTGTGTATGTACCCTAACTCATGAGAGCTTAGGATTTTTACGAGAAAATCGCTCTTACGCGAAAGCACTTCACGCTCTTTACAGTAGTTAAACAGGGATAGTTCTTAAAAAGAAAGAATGTGGTCATATATGAAGTAATATTACGTTTTTCAGAAATAGCGGCTTTTTTAGAAAAAAGGGAAAATGTAAAAAAGTGATATATCGGGGTTACTAAGTAAACTGAAATTTTTAATAGTAAATAAAACTTTTTACCGCAAAAACTGAGGGAATAAAGCAGCTCTATTAAAATAACGTTTGAAAATAGTCCTTTTGTGAATTTTTTGAACAAATTTACTTTCGTGTTATTTGCAATTTAAACTACGGTTGATGGGCAAACAGCCCAAAGCTCGAGTTTCACGAGGACTGATTGTTTTTCTTCCGTTTATACATTTTTGAGATATTTTGAACGAAGACAAACAGAATTTCCTTTGATTGCACTGACTGGGACGTCACAAGAGTAAGATGTTGCGAAAGGTCACATATGGACATGCCGGTCAGTGACTAATGAATATGAAGTAATTTCAGAAGGCAAACTGACGAACAACGTTTATTTTCGATAAATTCTCGTCAGGTGCATTTGTAAACCCATCACTTTGTGTATGTTAAAAGAAATTATATTTCGTCACATATTTATAAATATTTTGGGCAGTACGATTACGACGAGGTTCAAATCCTCCCTGAAATTTTCGTGAACTGTTTATGATTTTCAGTGTTTTCAGTCAATTGTGCAATTAAATAAAGATTTCGTTCTGTGTGTTTACCAAAACTTCCAAAATAAGATATTTCTAAAAATAGTGTGTTTCTCGATATTCTTTCCTATACATTTGGGAAATCACATGGACACCAAGAAACAATAGATTTGGTCCAAATTGACCAATTTTTCCATCAATAAGGTGAGCTGAACTGAACTCCTTTCTAGAAAACTACATTTTGCGCCTCAAATCAGTTCAGTGAACAGAATAAACAAACTCGACTGAGTGCTAAACTACCTCCTCCTATTTCGATCTTCGTACTTAATGAGATAGGCAATCTTTCTTTACAGTTGCCAGCGATTATATCCTGTTAAACGCGTAGACAAACGTCAAGCACTACGATCTTCAGGCCAAAGATGTTATCACCCGGCAGAGTGCCTGGACCTGTCAGCCTCAGTCGTGAAATTGATTGGTCGGTTTAGATGACTGTGACTGGCGTAAAAACCAAACAGAGCCACTCGTTTCCAGGGCGTGGCGTGGGAGCACCCTAAGAGTCTAAGCCGTGAGTGTGCTCAGAGCACTACAATTATCACGCCCAGTTCCG